ATGAGGAAATAGACTTCGGGCCGTGTCCCAATCTCTTTATATAAATCCACAAATTTTGATTTTTCAATTTTCCCGCGTTCCGACTCCTCAGCTCCGATTGTCTGCTCTTTGATTTTATTGGTCAGTCGATGATGGGAAATTCTTGAATTTATGTGTAAAATCGCTTTAAACGATGTCTGTTCGTCCAGATGTCCACTTTTTTTGACATCAAATTCGTCGAAAACCGTCTCGATCCATCGCTCGCGACATGTTGCAAATTGCGAGCTCGATGGCTTGCAATCGTCTGAAAAAAAAATTTTCTGATAAATTTTTGAAAACAGCTCGTCGAGAGCTTCAAAATGTGCCCAAACATGCTTAGACTTGATTAAAGACCAAAATTAGAACAATCTGGGTCAGAAGACGCGCTCTTTCGCCAAAACTAGTGTCGTTATAAAAAATTGAATGTCATTTTCTGAATCGTCTTGTTTGGTGCTTCAAAATAAGTATAATCATGACTAGGTTTGGAGCAACTTCAAAAATTTGGTAGCAACTGCGCTCCAATGATAATAACTAGTAAAACGGCTTTAACTCAGTTAATTTTAATGCTACGGAGAAGTTCTTTGCACTAGAAGACTAGAAAATTTTTGGTCTTCTTAATAATACACAATTTTCATCATTTCCGAAAAATTGCAATTTCGCTCTACCGAAGAAATTACGAAATAGGCTTTCATGGAAGTGCTATCAAAATTCAAACATTATATCTTGAATTGCCTTGGTTAGAGCTTCAAAATAAATATAATCATGACTAAGTTTGAAGCAAAATGAAGAATTTGGCAGCAAGTGCGCTCCATTGAGAAAAACACTAAACTCGCTATAACTCGGTTGTTTTATAAGATGAAACGGTCGTTTTTGCATCGAAATTTGTTAAATTTTACGGGCTACAAAATACATCAAAATTCGACTAATTAAAAAAAAATGAAAAATGCAAATTCGCTCTATCGGACAAGTTACGAAAATGGCTCTAACTTTGCTATGTTTCAAGCTAGAAATCTCATTTTTCCAGTGATATGTGTTTAAATTGATTGGCAACAACTCAAATTCTTCAAAATTGAAAAAAACCACTAACGTAAATGCGCTCCATTGAGAAAACGCTTAAAATTTCCTCATTTTTTTAAAGCAAATTTCAATAAAGAATATTCTGAAAAAATTGCTCACATTTATTCGATGTCAGTGCCATTAGCCCAGTCACCCAAATGTTCGCATCATCTCCAGACGAAGCGATTAAGTCTAGTGTCTCATAATTATCACCGTAGATTATGGAAAATAGGCATTCTTCCTGGAAAACTTTGATTAACAAATTTTTGTAGATTACTGTACCTGCAAATCCGAGAAGACCTCATCCGACGAGCGTAGGAGTTCCGTGTTTTTTCCAAGTCGAATTTCCCGGATATCGTCAATAGCAACTGTAAAAAGTTTTCGAAATAATTTTTTGAAAATTTAGGCCCCGCCCCTTTTTGAGCTCCGCTCCCCTTACTTCTCGCTTTGTGAGGCTTCTTGTTGGTTGGTGTCCATCGAATATAGGACAAATCGGCGTCCAGACTGAAAAATCGTCGAAATTGGCGATTTGTACCGCGTAGTTTGACAAAATCCGACCCAGTTTGCATATAATTCCAACAGTCGCTTACTGAAAAAAAAATTTTTTGAAAAAAAAATTTCCTAAAAACTTACCATTCGAAATTTTGGCATCACTATTTTTCGACGAAAATGAGACGGTTTTCCGTCCGCCAGTTCCTGCTGGTGACTTTGCTCGTCCACCATGTTTGATGATTGACGAGCGTAGCGTTTTTCTGAAATTTTTGGAAGTTTTCAGCAAAAATTTTTTTTTAAAATCAATTTTTCAGCTCTAAAATTTTGATTTTTCAGAATTTCAGGATTTTTCTCTTGTAATTTTGAATGCTCTGATTACTCGAGAACTACTGATTTTTTGATTGAAGCCCAAAATTTGAAAGATTCGATTCAGAAAACGCGCTCTTTTGCGAAAACAAGAAGTTCTAACAAAAACTGTTTATCATTTTCTGAATTGCCATGTGGAGAGCTTTAAAATGAGTATAATCATGGCTAGGTTTGAAACAACTTAAAAAATTTGGCAGCAAATGCGCTTCATTGAGAAAAATTACTGAAATCGCTATAACTCAGTTCATTTTTGAGCGAAAAAGATGATTTTTGCACTACATTACTAAAAATTTTCTGGACTTTAGGGTGAAAGACAATTTTAATGATTCCGGGGAAAAATTTCAAATGCGCTCCAATGAGAAAAGTAACATAAATTAGTTAAAAATGGTTCAAAGCAAAAGTAACACGAATTTTTGAATTCGGCACGTTCAGGGCTTCAAAATGAGTATAATCATCACTAGGTTTAAATAATTTTGAAAAGCTTGACAGGAAATGCGCTCCATTGAGAAAAATATTAAAATCGTTATTTCTCCGTTGGTTTATGAGATAGAGCGATGGTTTTTGAAGCAGATTTGGTTAAATTTTATGGGTTTCAAGATAAACGTAGGTTTGGCTAATTTTTCATGATATGAAAAATGCAAATTCGCTCTACCGGAAAAATTACAAAAATGACTCTAATTTCGCTATTTTTCAAGCTAGAAGTCTCATTTTTTCAGGAGAATGTGTTAAAATTGATGGGCAACAAGCCAATCCAAACTTTTCCAATCATATTATTCCCATCATTTAAACCATTTTTTTGATAATTCAAAAAAGGACAAAGCAAATTAATAAGCTCACCCAAAAAATTCCATCATTTGGGTATATCCAAAAGAAAACAGAAGAATAGAATTCTTAAAAAAAGAAAAAAGGACTTCAGAAGACTCGTTTTTTTGTGTAAACTAACAAAAAAAATTTTTTGGGGGGAGGGAGCAAAATAAAAATAGTATATATACACACAGCTTTGTTAATGTTGGACACAAAAAAATTTTTTTGTGTCCAACATTTTTTTTCCTCTCCCCAGAACCACCAAACACAGCTCATCACATTGTGTTTGTTCCAGAATTTTCTGTGTCGTTTTCAACATAAACATTTTGGTGACATCTCTTTTTTTGGTGGACCAGAAAAGTTGGTTTTTTTTTGGCTCCAAGAAGGGACGGAGCACACAAATGGCTTGAAATGAGGCACTTTTTAGATAAAAATATGAATTTTCGAAAAAATTTTCAAACAATTTTTTTTTCGAAATTTCAGATTTTCAAAAAATAGCTGAAACTTGAACATTTGAGAGTGGAACGTACAAGAATCAGCTCCGTAACCATCTAAAACCTATAAAACCCCTAAAAATCGCTTAAAAATCATGAATATCGAGATATTTTAAATTTTTGGTCAAATGGCCTAGTGGATTCTTGGACATGCGAATTTATGAATTTCAACACCAGAGTTCGATTCCACCCGGTGCCAAACTTTTTTTGCTTTTGTGTACAGCAAGATTTGGGGATTCTGGAAGAGAAAAATTCCAAAAAAAAATTTTTTTCAAAATTTCAGGTTTTCCAAAAAAGAAAATTTGAAAATTTGAAAAAAAAAATTTTTTTAATCTAAGCTCCGCCCACTTTTTTTCTTAATTACCTTTTCGCAAATGGAACATCCAAATTTCTCGGAGTCGTATCTGTCGATCCGTTGGTCCCCTCATCCTCACTTTCAGCCATTTCTGAAATTTTGGGAATTTTCAAAAAAACATTTTTTTTTCGAAATTTTGAATTGTTTTTAAAATTTTAAGATTCGACCATTTTTTTAAATTTCTCCAGAATTCTGAAATTTCAAGGAAAAAAATTCCAGACAAGAAAAAAGCAAAAAAGCGGCTCTCCATTATAGTGATAACGAGAGAGTATCAGAAAGTGAGAGACGCAGACAATTAGAGACGGGGAAAACAGGGAAAAACTAAAAGTCAAGAAGAGTATTCTGAAAATCAAAAAAAAACAAGAGGGGAGAAAAAGGAAATCTGACATTTCTCTTATTTTTTCTTTTTCGAGAGAAAAATGACATATGTTTATGTAAAAAGTCAAAAAAGAAAAGGAGAAAGAGATACGAGAGATACAAAACTAGGTCATAACTATGCTAATTTTAGGGGGAAAAGGAAGAAAAATGAAAAAATGTTTAAAAAGTTTTTTTTTGGGAATTTCTAAATTTTCGAGCTTTTGATTTTCCTTGAGAGGAGCCTATTATCAATATATTTTGAACAAAAAACCATCAATTTCCCATGAAAACTAACAAAGTTACACCCTTTTTACCATAAGGTTATCAATAGAGCGCGTGTTCTGAAAATTCTCAGAAAATTACAATTTTCTAGTTTAGACCGATTATGTAGCTTTCCATTAGCTGTTTTGGTACAAAAATCAGTTTCCTAGCTTGAAAAATAACAAAGTTACACCACTTTTTGCAAAAATTATCATTAGAGCGCATTTTCTGATTTTCCACTTTTTCGTTCCAAACCTAGGCTTGTTTATACTCATTTCAAAGCTCTTAACAAAGCAAACTCAAATAATCTAATTGAATTTCATTCCAACCAATATTGGAAAAATTGCAGCCCAAAACATTTTCAACTAAAAAAAGTTTCAGAAAATTACAAAAATGTTAATTTTCGAACTTAAATGTTTTGAACTGATTTGGTAGCTTCTAATAAACATTTTGGTACAAAAATAAGCTCTCTGGCTCAAAAACTATCAAAGTTACACCACATTTACACAAAATTATCCATAGAGCGTATTTTCCGATTTTTCCACATTTTTTCTAAACCTGGGCTTGTTTATACTCATTTGAAAGTTCTAGACAAGGCAAACTCAAAAATGTTAGTTGACTTTTGTTTTAGGCAACTTCTGAAGAATTACAGCCCAAAACATTTTCAGCTTAAAAATTTTTTCAAGACATTAAAAAAAATTTAAATTTCAAATAAATCAGAATAACTAATAGGAAGTTCTTCTAGTGACTTTGTTTAGATTATATGTAATTCAAGTTTTAATTCCAATAATCCTTTAACTTCAAAATTCAGGGGTTTTGAAATTTTATAAACAAACATTTTTTGAAAAATTCCAAGAAGACACCAAAATTCAAAATTTTCAGAGTTTTTTGAATATTTTTCGAAAATCAACACTGAGAAATAGAGACAATAGGGCAAAAAGAAAGAAATTCGGCTGTAATTTCTCAGATGTTGGCCAAAATGAAATATTTAATTAAAATTTTTGAATTTAGCTTGTTGAGAGCTTTCAAATGAGTATAAACATGCCCAGGTTTGAAATAAAAAGTGGACAATCAGAAAATGCGCTCTATTGATAATTTTTTGTAAAATTTGTGTAACTTTGTTAGTTTTTAAGCTAGAAAACAGATTTTTGTACCAAAAAGTTGCTAGAAAGCTACAATATCAGTTCAAACCGTAAAAGCATGGTTTTAAAAATCTGAAAATCTTTAAAACTTTGTTAGTTTTGAAGCTTGATATCTCATTCTTGTACCAAAATGCTCAGAATTACAAAAGCTACGTGTTTCATCTAAAAATTTGGAATTCCAAAAATTGAAAATGCGCTCTAGTGCGAAAAACCTTTTTGACTTTGAAGCGTTCCCGTTCCAAAAATTAGGGACCCACTTGACAAAAAAAGGCAAAACTTTCGGAGCCAAAAAGCTGTTTTGGCTCTTTTTGTCCCAAAAAAACCAATTTCGTGAACAAATTCCGAATTCTAAGAGGGGCACCACCACCAAAAAAAGAGCGGAATTCTTTCAAATTTTTCGTTCAAAAAGAAGAAAAAAAGAATCCGAAAAGCACAAAAAGAGCAGCAGCACAAGTTTTCTCACTTTCCGGTGGTTCTTTTTTCACATTTGCCCTTTTTCGGCCATCCTCTTCTTCTTTTTTCTTGTTCAAATAAAAAGAAGAAGCTTAAAACGAGAGGCGAAAAAAGAGGCGGAAAACGAAACCAATTAGACATCCTTTCGGCCCTCATTTCAATCGTTGTATAGCTCTTTTTGGCGGGAATTCGAAATTTGCTTTGCCCTTTTTTTGACATGATGACGTCGTAAATGTGGGCGGGGCTTAAAAAGATACAATGTGCATCGACTTATCAAGATACTTATGAGTTGCTGGGGTGAGCATTTAAAATGCTTTAAAATGAGCATTTTTTCGGTTGATTTTGAGTGAAAATATCAACAATAAGGTACCAAAATCGCTCTGGAAATTAATTTTTTAAAAATATTCGGAAAAAAGAAAAAATTTGCGAAAAAATGAGCCTATTTTCAGTTTTCTACGTTCATTTTGAGCAAAGTTACGAGGGAAACAAGATTTGGGTCTGCTAGCTATTTAGCAGACCACTTTTCTCTGCGTCTCTCAATAGCAGACCCACACCTTGGGTCTGCTATTGAGAGACGCAGAGAGAAGTGGTTTGCTAATGTTTGAATAGCAGGCCAACGCTCACACTGCCTGCGTCTCTCGTGGGTCTGCTAAGTATTTAGCAGACCAATTTGCGCCCTTCAACTGTCTGCGTCTCTCAACAGCAGACCCAAACCGTTGGTCTGCTAATGCTAGACGCAGAGAGTTAGAGGACACGTTGGCCTGTTAAATATTTAGCAGACCCATGAGAGACGCAGGCGACGAGATTGGTCTGTTATTCAAACATAAGCAGACCACTTCTCTCGTCGCCTGCGTCTCTCATGGGTCTGCTAATTATTTAGCAGGCCTAAAATGCGAAAATCGATTAATTTGAGCACCAAACTTCGAGTTTTAAAAACAATTTTTAGCGGTTTTTTAAAGTTTTAAAAGGTTGTAGTTTGTAGTTTGTAAATTTTTTGTCTATTTTCACTTATTTCTGCAAGTTTTGAGCCTAAAAACGTCGAAATTTGTATTATTCTTGTGCGAAAAAATTGGAGTTGTGGCCGAATTTTCACACAAGTTAGGCCACCGTATTTCAAGGAGAATTTTCGAAAACACAGCCGGCA